CCCCAAAACCCCAAAACCCCAAAACCCCAAAACCCCAATCCTAATTTTTTTTATTGAATAATAATAGAAATGGAGAAAATTAAGTTAGAGGTAGGCCAGAGAGGGAGGGAAAGTGGGGGATGTAGCGCTTTGAGAGGGGTTAAGGGGATAGAGAGATTTTGGAAGCGTGGATTTGGGAGTGTGGTTTAGGAGGTAGGGACTGGAGTAAAAAGTATGGGGTAACAGGATTTTATGGGACTGATAATGCTGTTCACCATGATATTCGCAAGGATTGCTTTAAAATAGATGGATTGCATAAAGTACGATCTTTGATCAGGCGATTAATTTGTTAGAATGCAAAATTTCGTATAAGGTTATCTTATAAACCAAACACTAGACATTATCAAAATTGTGGAAATTTTGAATTATTCTTCAGCCTATTTCCAGCCTAAAATTACATAATTAATGATATTTTCCTAACGGCCTGGCAAAATTTTGAAAGATTTCACTATTAGGGTTTCGCATCAGGAGGATTTGCTATAAATATATTAAAAACATTTTGAGCTTGCATCTGGCAAATTGAGAAAGCAAATATTATCTCATTTGTTTCGGGATATTTGGATTTTTATTTATAACGCCAATTGAGTTTGAAATCAGTTCACGTTAGAGGTAAATTCCTAAATTTTATTAAATTCTAGTAAACTTCATGATAAAAGCTTGAATTTATTCTCTTGACACTTTCTATAGGATAGTTTTTCAAATAAAGCATTCCATGATGCAATAATGCAAGCTTCTAAGACTGCTGAGCAAAGAAGGTTAAAAGCTGCATCATCTAATTCGTTAAACAATAGCGTTAATTATGTAACAAGGAAGGATTCAAATTAACCAACTTGGGGCTCCTCTGAGAGGTATCTCAATGAAATCCAATAAATCTGCCAATGCTGCCAAAAGTATGAGCCAGCCTTTAGCAATGATGAATAATGGAAGAAACCCATTACAAGTCAAGCCTGGAAATCCTCCTAAAGCCGTTCAAAGAAGAGTAATTATATGAATTAATAATGTAGAAGAGCAAATTTTTGCCTACAAATATTGATAATAAAACTCAAAATCAAAATTCAATGCTCCCTCCAAAATCAAATTACAGCAAACATGGCTCATTTAGAGCTAAAGATACTTTAACTAACTCATCAATGAATGAATCTGGGAATTTCAAGAAGGTCAACTCTATGAGATCTTCTAAAGAGTCTCTTGATAATATTAAGGACCTTCAGAGTCCTTCCAATAAGAAAGCTCCTGTCACTCTTATAAAGGGACCACCGCCAATTCTAAATTCTCAAATGAATAACACTAGCTTTCCTTCCAAGATAGATCCGCCACCATCAAAGATTGATATTACAGCTGTGAGTCCTGGACTTCCGAAGAAGTCAGATCAGCCAAAGAATGAACCGCAGAACAGCAATTCAGGAATTATTGGCCAGAAGGAACCCCAAAATCTTCCAGAGTCCCAATCCTTCTACAACATAGGAGATTCATCCATGGCCAAGAATCAGGCGAGGCCTCCAAGGCTGAGAGGTAAGCTCATTGTTTCATCTGTAGTTCCTCGAGTCGGCCCAAGAATGAGGCCGGCAGGCCATATTCCTGAGGAGGATCGTGCTCCTACTATTCCTGAGGATGACAATGAATCTGCTATCAGCTCAATGCAGGCTAATCCACGAGATTACACAACAAGAAGTTTTGGAAATCCTTCTATAATCAAGCCTAAATCTCAGGCATCCTATGAAGTGGCTAACTCTCCTACAGCTTTTACACCAAACGTGACTAATTCACTTATAGAAGATAATGCAATAAACTCTCTTAGAAATGTGGATAAGAACAAGTTTAACAAACAGAAGACACCTAGTATAATGGCTTACAAGATGCTTGATGATTCAAGAAAAGTACTGTCTCCGAAAGACGCTGAGAAGAGACTTGATATCAGCATAAATGAAAAATCAAACGCTCAAACACCTAAAGAAGATAGTAAGATAGATGAGATACCTGAGGAAATCCCTAAAGAAGAAGAGGAGGGTAAGGAGATCACCCCAAGAGTTGAAGAGAACCAAAAGCAAGGGAATTTAATATATTTCAAGTCAAAAGACCCTGACCCAAAGACTATTACTCCTATGGGAGGTAAGGGTCCAACTTTGACTAAGACTATTGTCAAACCAGTCATTTCTGGAATAAAGGAAGAGCAGAAGAAGCCACAAAAGAATAAAAACAATGATCTTGAACTGGTAGATCTCTCTTTAGAAAAAGATCCTCCTGCTCCGATCCCAGAAGAAATTCCAAAATCAGACCCAGTGGAAAAATTTGAGAATCTTCCTATTGCAATTCCAGTTCAGCCAGAAATGAAAGAGGACTTAGAGGAAGAAAAAGAGCCTGTAGGAACAAATAAATCAGAAAAGGTTGTTGAACCCAAAGAGGACCCTCCAGAGTTAGCCAATCTAAAAGACTCTGGTCCAACCCAAGAATCTGAAGAGAATCCAGCTCCGAAAGAGGCTGAGCTCACAGAAGAGCAAAAGCTCGAAGCCGAAGCTGAAGAGCTGCGTAAACTTGAAGAAGAAGTAGCTAAACTTGAGAAAGAAACTGAAGATGCACCCCAAGAAACCACTTCGTACTCTGAACAGACAGTCATCGTTGATGGTAAAAGAAAGCGCAAGAAGAGAAAGAAGAAGAGAAGAAAGAAGATAGGTGGAGGTGAAGAGACCATTGCTAACATCACTGTTGAAGAAGTTGACCTTGATGATGTTGAAGAACCTGATGGTAAGCCTCTTAATCCAGTGGTAAAGAAGAAAGGCAAGAAAAAGAAAACACCTAACACAAAGTTGAACACTGTTGTTGAGGACTCTAAAGAACATAGTTCCCTTACGGAACACCAAAGAATGGACACATTTAAATTTAGTGAAGATGAGAAAGAAGACCAAAAGATTGAAGATAGGATAGATGGCAAGGGAGAAAATAACCCTGAGGATGAGAACAAACAAGATGATTCCTATGATTTCTCAACTCCAAAGAATGTAGCTGGGAGTCAGAAGAAGGAATCTAAGCTAAGCAGATTTAAGAACGCGGAGGATAATCCTAACCAGAATGATGTTAGTAATGATTATGAGGGTGATGAATTTGAAGAAGATCAGAAAACACCTAAAATAGAGACCAAAGAAGAGGTTAAGGAAGAAAATGAAATTCTTCCACCAGTTCTGAAACCTTCTTCTGGGTTTAACACTAACAAACTAGCAGAAGCAATTGAGTTAAAGGAGGAGCCCAAAGAATCTCCCAAACTTGAAATGATCAGACCTCCTGCTCCTGTAGCTTTGATATCTCAGAATGAGGTTTATCAAAACATCCACGCACCTCCTGATAAGACTGAGATTGATACTAATACAGACATTGGGCCTCCAGTAGGTTCAAAATTTGCTCAAAGTAATCCATTTGGAAAAATAGAGAGTCTAAAGAAGACCAAAACAGTAGTAGAACAGAAGGAAAACAAAGTCCCAAGTATTGCAGATGAGAAAGACCTCGCTAAAGCCCAAGGTACAATCTCTCTCCTCCCACTTAACTGTGAGATTCATCGTGAGGAGTACATCCAATACTTTTGTCGTGAAGACGATTGCAAATTTGGTCTATGTCAACAGTGTTTGAACTCTCATGAGAACCACGACTTCATCTATGCAGATGAGATTGCTAGCTTTGAAATAAAGCAGTCTCTAAAGGCGACTATGACTGAGTGTGCTTACAAGATAAAGTCCCAACAAATGCTGTATAATGAGACCAAGAAGCTCTCACAATACCTAGAGGACCTTAAAAAGCAAGAATACGAGAAGATGCACTATTACTTTGAAGGACTCAAAAAGGAACTCGAAAAGCGTGAGAAAGCCTTGAAAGAACAATTCCATGAGAAAGTCAAGGATGTCGAAGCTATTCTTGACAGAGATGTATTGATCTTGGAGAAGCGTATGCAAGAGTTTAATTCTATTAATGATAAACTTAAGGAGAAGGCAGCCAGGTTCCGCCTCAGCAACGATCTTGCGATCGTTGCAAATGCTTATGAGGTCTTTGACCTCAAAAGGAAAGTTAAAAATAATAATTTTGAAGGCAAAAGATTAGAACTTGAGGAAGATGAGGAAGGAGCGGAAGAAAGCAAGATCCAAGAATCCTTGGATCAATTTGATTTCAATCCTAAAAAGCGTAATGTAAATAGAGATGAAGAGAAAAAGTTAAGAGAGCAAATGCTGAATGAAGGAGAGCATGTCTTCTTTGTACAGCTTGATTCTGAGCTTCCCATGCCTCAATTTGCGATTAATATTACTAAAGAAAAGAAGAAGATAGAAAACATAGGGACTATTAAAAACAATCTTATTCCTTCTCAAGAACAACAAGAAGCTCCTTTAGATAGTGAGAGGTCTAAGATTCATTCTGAACCAGATATTGCGTCACAATTTAACCATCAGCAGGAAAATAAGATTTCTAGGAATAAGAATTACGATAATGTTAGAGAGTTTATAGACAACTATCAGGATTATTCAAATTCATTCTACTCTAAACAATCTCCGAACAAAAATTTAATCGCACAGAAGAAGTTTACCATGAGCTATAACGAAAAGAATTCTGAGCGTCATGATGAGACTCTTCCGCCAAGACCGATGCCAAGCCAGCGGGAGGTAATAACTGAAGAGAAATTTCCTCTCTCTGATCTGAACATGGGTCGTGAAATGTACTGGTTCAAATGGGATAGTTACGACTGCTGGAAATATAACTTTAGTGATGACATCTGGTCTCTCATCGAGGACGTGAAGCCATCCCAGAAGTTCCTATATTTCTCCAATATAGTTCACCTGAAAGACAACTCTGGTTGCTACATCCTTGGTGGATGAGATTTTGAGGATAATTATAGCAAGAGAACACTTCAGTTTGAAAATTACAAGAACTTCAGGGATAAAGCACCCATGATATCAACAAGAGCATTCTTCTCCAGCTGATATGTGGAGACCGACAGAAGTATCTATGTGTGTGGAGGAAATGACAATGCTGATGACCTGGCAGCCTGTGAGAAATACTCTATAACAGAGAATGTCTGGAGACAGATCTCTCCCTTGAACTATAAGAGAAACGGAGCCTCAGTTTGACACTTCTCAGAGTCAAACTGTCTCTTCATATTTGGAGGCAATAATAGAGAAATTGGAAGTCTTGACTCTATTGAAAAGTATGAAGTTGAATTTGATAAGTGGACTGTTATTCAAATGACACTCAGGACTGGCCTCCATGACCTTGCTTCTGTTTATCTAGGTAAAGGAAAAGTCCTTATTCTTGGAGGCAACAATGAAAATGGAGTCTCAACTGAGTGAGAAATCAAGGATCTCTCTTCTGAAGCAAATAAACTAAACCTGAAATTTGGAGGTAAATGCTACTACAATCCTATGATTGATACGAAAGGTGACCTTCATATGTTCTTTGGGTATGGAGATTCTCAACTTATACACGAAAGGGTAGATATCTCACATCTTCTGGCTAAAGAAAAAGTGCAGAAAGAAGCTATGAACAGACTTGATCAGTCAATCAAGCGTACTATAACCCCTAAAGACTCGAACCTAAACAGAAAGATTCAAGAGAAGCATCTTAATTTCCATAAATATCATATGCAGCAAGATGTCTCTAGCCAGATGATTTCCACTGATATGAACGTTTCCCCAAATGTTTTCCCAAACAAGAAAGAGAAAATTAGGTCTATAAAGGCTAATATGTATCAAGCAACTCCACCACGATCAAAGAATGGAGAGAACTTCTTCTACAGACGTAAAAATTCTCAGAATCGGCATCCATCAAATGAGCGGAATAGTGAGAATTATCATTCGACACCCTCAATGCCTATTGGAATGGGCTCTAAGGCACACTCTCATATAGATCCAGACCTGAGCCATCATTTCAAGAGTGGGATGAACTCGATTTATTCATCAGCAAGGAATGATAATAATTTCCAGTATCCCTCCTCAGGGTTAAAGAAATTTAACTTCTCATAATTTCAATAATTATTAACAACTTTGGGGTTTTGGGGTTTTGGGGTTTTGGGGTTTTGGGGTTTTGGGG